GGGTAAAAGAAGAGTTGGTATGGGGAAGGTAAAAAGTTAAAGGAAGAGGTGTAAGGAATAGGGGTGTGGGTGCTTTGGTGAGTAGGGGGTGGATGGCATGTGATGGAGGAAAGGGAGAGGGTAGAGGGGATGAGAGGTAAGTAGTAATCTAGTTAAAGTAAAGATGTTGGGAAAAAGGGGACACAAGCCTAGGGAGTTTTTTAAAAAAATGGATGGGGGTTCGGCTTGTGGTATGAGGGGTTTGAGAGAGAAATCGGTTTGAGAGAAAAGTGGTTTGGAGGGAAGGGGTTTCGGCTTATGTAAGGCGCCGATTGGTTTGGCTAGAGGCCGAATAGCGATCGGTTTCTAAGAAAGGGGGTGGGTGTAAGAGGAAGCCGATTGAAAGGAGGGGCTAGGATCGGCTTGCTATGTAATGTTGGATGGAAGGTGAGAGGAAGAAGCCGTAGGAAGGGGTAAGAGGGGAGAAGGTTCGGCTTGAGGGAGGAAGCCGATTAGAGGTGAGAGGAATCGGTGTGTTGGAGGCCGATCGAAAAGGGGGTTTCGGCTTATGAGTTTTAAAAATGAGGATGGTTGTTGGTGGTCGACGTGCAAGAGGGATCCGAGTGTAGAGGTGTGAGGAATATAGGGGAGGCCGATTAGAGGTATTTATAAAGAGGGAGATGATCATCTAGGGTTTAGAAAAGATAGAAGATGGGCCGAAGTGTGTGGGCCGAAGGTAGGGAAAGAGAAGGAGGAAGGATTTAGATCGGCTTAGGTGTGGGGGGTTAGGCATATTGAGAAGCCAAAGGAGAAAGGAGGATCGGCTTGGGGATGGTTTAATGATGGATCGGCTTGGGGGTTTTCGGTGTGCAAGGTTGTAAGCGGCTTGGGAGAGAGAGGGGAAACCAAAGATGGTAGATGGGAGGCCATTGAATCGGCATGAGAGGGTGAGCCGAACGGGGTATAGCGAAGGTGTGAGTTTGAGATCGGTGTGAGATGAAGCCGATGGAGAGGAGGTGGATCCTTAGCAAACCGAAGGGGGTGGGGGAGGGATTCGTCTTGTGTGGTATGAGATCGGTTTGGGGGAATTGGTTTGTGAGAGGGAAAGCCGAATGAGTGAAGGGTTGGTGATCGGTTTGTGTTGAACGCGAAAGGGAGATCGGCTTATTGAGGAGGAAGCCGAAAGAGAGAAGGAGAGATTTGAGGGCAAGCCGAAAGGAAGGGTGTGAGAAAAGAGAGGAAGGCCGAAGGAGAAGGGTTGAGGGTGTGGAATCGGTTTAAGGGTGGGGGGAAATCGGCTTGAGGTTCGGCTTGAGGTTCGGCTTAGGGGTTTAGGGATCGGCTTGCATTTGGTAGGAAAGGGGGAAACCGAGTGGGATGGGAGCGTGGTGTGTGAAGAGTGTAGGTKTAAGGTTCGGCTTAAGGAGAGAAGAGGTGGTGTGGGGTTGATCGGTGAGAGAAGAGGCCCTCAAACTTGTAAAAAGAATAAAAGGATAAAATAAATTAAAATTTTAAAACCACTACACACAAAAATAAAAACTTGTTATCGTTTTATATGTTTTTATCTTTTTCTTCTATTTTTTTTTTAAATTAAAAAAAATACTAATAAATTTAAAAAAAAATACTAATAATATATATATAGAGAGAGAGACTTTTTAGAGAGAAAAAATAGAAATTGATTTTTAAGGAAAAAATATACGAGTGTAAAACCCATCATTTTCAAAAAAATCAATATTTTAGAAAAAAGAGAAACATACACTCACATAAATACCAGATCATTTTAGAGCAAACGACACAATAACATTTTTGGAGAAAACACATAACCCATAAGAATTAGTGAAAACTCAAAAATTATTTGTCAACATTTAACATTCCCAACTCACTAATCAAAAAATTAAACCGAGATTCATCAAGAGGCTTGGTAAACAAGTCAATGAGTTGATAGTCTGTAGGGATAAAATGAAGTTCAATATCACCTTTCATCACATGGTCTCTGATAAAGTGATATCGAATATCAATATGTTTCGTACGAGAGTGAAGAACGGGATTGTTGGCAATAGCAATGGCACTTGAATTGTCACAGAAAATTGGAATTTTGGTGAACACTTGGTCGTAATCAGCTAACTGATTTTTCATCCACAAGACTTGTGCACAACAGCTACCTGCAGCAACATACTCAGCTTCAGCTGTTGAGGTGGACACAGAGTGTTGTTTCTTGCTAGTCCAACTGACTAACTTTCCACCCAACAACTGATAGCTACCAGTTGTACTCTTTCTATCAACTTTACATCCTGCATAATCAGAATCTGAAAAACCTGTTAGATCAAAATCTGAGTCATTGGGATACCAAAGACCCAGATTGGGAGTACCTTTCAGGTACCTGAAAATGCGCTTAACGGCTGCCAAGTGAGATTCCTTTGGATTCGTTTGGTATCTTGCACAAAGACCCGTTGAGAACATAATATCCGGTCGGCTAGCAGTAAGATAAAGTAAGGAGCCGATCATTCCCCTATAACTGGTCACATT